GAACACGCTCCTAAATCCAAAATCACCCAACTGAGCTAACAGAACCGACGAAACTCCATTACGGAGTCGTCTTCACACAGTTCTAATTATGGTAAAAATCCTAATACTTAAGCTTCCGTTTTAGGGACTAAGTGCCCCTAATCAATCCAAAACCACAAACAGAACCTCCCGGCAAGTCACATAAGCAGAAAAAGATACGGAAAAAGTAGTAAATAGGGGATCGGGACTAATACACTCAAAACGACTGGTCGGGTCGTTACAATAAAGCATTAAGAATTTTTAATAGTTTCTAAATTTGATACGGGGTATATCAAAATTGTATCTACGGGATGACACGTTTAGGAATCATCTATGTAAGTGAGAAGTGTTAGCCGCTTCAAGGAGAATTTTGCAAGGCCATGTTCTCTACGCACTTATGAAACCAGGCGGTGTTCATGGCTGAAACGAACACAACAATGAGAACCAAAGATGGTTAAGGGTTGGTTGTGTGACTTATGATTGTCTAGGTATACACCAAAGTTCGACGGTTCAAAGATATGAAATCTACCGATTGATCGAGTATATCCGACATAAGTTCACTACGGAAAGTTCAAAGGGAAACCTACTTATCCAGATGCGATTAATCCTTGCTTGTAAATCACAAAGTTTTTCATGCATATTTCAGTGATATAGTCATTCCCCATTCATGTGGGGGATTGTTGGGTTTAAGATTCTTAGAGCTTAATATTAAGATTAACGTAATATTATTTTAATCCAAATTAGCCGTTCTTTTTCCTCCGCGTTTTGATTTTCCATTTTATTTTGTGTAAATAACCATTTACATAATGGCCTTTTTACGTGAACAGTCATAACAGACATTCTGAAGAGTTGCACCTCTTCGTTTAAACTCAACATATTGGCTATAAATAGCATACTATTCCCTCAGATTTTCCTTACGAAAATTCTGATTTCTCCTTCTTCTTTCTGCATTGTTTTAACAGAAAAGAAAGCAGTAAGTGTGATTTATATACAACTGTTCTTTGCGTTTATTGTCACTGGTGTTTGAAATACCGCTACACCAGTGACGTTATCCGTTCTATCCTGGGAGAAAATAATCCTAAACCTCGGGTACTTGGAGGGGATTAAATTCCTTAAAGAAACACTGTGAATTCAGTGGGCTCGGATTAATTCTGTTCTTCTACATTTCTGGTTTTACATTGTTTCAATTTTTTGAATATATTTTCGAATACAAAACACTAATAGCTTTGCATATAGCCGTAAAGCTTGGATGGAAGGCATCTAGGAGCTTCTGCAACGCCCAATATCCAGTGCATTGTCCAAATCTCCAAATTCTGAGCTTCTATGGTAATGTTCACTTCGTTCTTGCTAACTTTTATTAGCCGTCAAACATGATAGAGTCGTTTTTGCCGTGGGAAAGCTTTATCCAGTCGTGCTTCTTTGTGATGAATTGTAAAAAGATTGATGCTTCTCATTGTATGCTGTGTTAATGAGAAGTAACTTGATTGTACTTCTGGGTGATTAATCAACATAGTTAATAGCCAAAAGATGCAATGGGAAAATTGCATATCAGCGAGTAAATCTCTATATGGTCCAAGTAGGTTTTCTCCGTTGGTTCCCTTTCTTTTTGGTTTTCGGTGGAGATTGTGGGGTTGTTAAGTCTCTTCGAAGGGTGTATGATAAAGAGTAAACTATCTTCATATTCCATTACCTGTTTTAATTCTCTCTGTGCACTCCAATCTTTATTTCCATGCATCCAATATCTCCCCCCTCCGAAGCCAGGGCGATTATACGTTATAGATAAAGATTCCATATTACAAGAAAAGAAATTACATGGTAGCTAATGAAATTCTTTTTCTTGAAGTGATAAGTTATGCGATTATGGTTTTGATGATTTATCAAACTTTATGGAAGAACTAGATAGGAATCTCATACAATCATTTCCCTTGTGCTTATTGTAACATACTCAATTGTCTGGTTTAATTCTCAAGGAAACCAGATAAGGGAACCGCAAAGGGAACAAATAGTATCATGTCCTCAGGTCGTCGCGCAAGTCAACTTTATAATTGTTAAAGTTGTTGCACTGTACTTGCACCAGTATAGCAGCACAGCTACAGTTTGCTTGAAACCGAAAATGCTCTTATATCTTCTCTCATGATATCACATATATATATACAACATGATACATGGTTTTGTACTAACACTTGCAAATCCAAAAATCATATCCTTAGGTTTGTTGAGTCTTTGTTATTTTGTTCTTCACTTGTAATCCTACACTACTTTCAAGAAGTGTCTTTATAGGATAAATTTCAACCATCGTTTGGTTTGGTTTCTTGACTAGAGTTAGTCAAGGTTGTTGCTTTGTAATAAAGTTATTGCAAAGGGCTTAGAATAGAGTTATTGTAAGGGATGAGGGATTAATAGTTCAATTCCTAGATTATAATAGGTTGTAATATGAAGTTGGCTCGGTTTAGTGGAGTTGAAATCCTACTAGGGTAGGTCGTGATTTTTAATCCCTCGAGCAAGGAGTTTTTCACATAAATATCGTGTGTCTTTTATTTACTGCATGTTTACTATGGGAACAGATCGATAGAGAATCTGGTTTCCTAAACTGTTTGGTTTTACTTTTCGCTTATTTACTCTGGGAACAGATAGAGAACCTGATTTCTATATTGTTTGGTGGACTCCTAGTTTCTATCATGAAGTTGTGACACGATTTTGAAAAGTCTAATTTTTGTTATACAAAATAGAGTAACCAAAAAATTGTTATGGTACAAATTTTATAAAATAACCAGCAGAACAGAATCCACTACTAGAAATTCGGCAAAAACCGACCAAGGTCGACCGACCAACTTTGATCGGTCAAAAAACCGGCCAAAAAACCGACCAAAGTTGGTTGGTTTTTCAAAATATTTTATTTTTTAATTATTTTTTACGAAACTTTGGCGCAAAAATGCGAAAAACTATTTTTGAGTCCCGCGAAATTTATTTTTCAAGAAACCGACCAACTTTGGTCGGTTTTTCAATTAAAATAAATAAAAATTAATATTAAAAAAACCGACCAAAATTGATCGGTTAATTCGGCCGGTCATTTTAAAAAACCGACCATCTTTGATTGGTAATTTTATTTTTTAATAAAACCGACCAACTTTGGTCGGTTATTTTCGTGTAAAAATATAATTAAAAAGTATAAATCAAATAAAAGACAGTCTTAAAACAAAATGCACCAATGGTCTAGTGGTAGAATAGTATCCTGCCACAGCATAGACCCTGGTTCGATTCCAAATGGTGAATCTTTTGATTACATAATTAAAAAACCGACCAACTTTGGTCGGTTGTATTTGCAATTTTTTTTTTTTTTGAATTTAACTGACCTACCAACGTTGGTCGGTAATTTCCGACCAACTTTGGTCGGTATGCCTTTTCGACCATCAAAATACCGTCTACGCATAAATGGTCACGTTTTGATCGGTAATTAGCCATAACCGACCAATTTTGGTCGGTTTTTTTTGTCGGTGTTTAGCGGATTTCTTGTAGTGATATCATTGACACCCATAACTAATACCCGAATTTTTTTCTTCCGTAATTAGTCTTCTTGATTACTGTTATCACTATTTCTCTTAGCATCACACAAAAGATGTAAGATACGTATTGATACAGATATACATTAGATAATATACATCATCAACTCAGGAAAATCATGGGACCCTAATTACCTAATAATCGAAGCCATTAATTCATGAATATAAAAAAGAAAAAGAAATAAAAACGATAACTTACAAGCTATAAAGTAGTAAGAGACAATAATGTCCTCGGTTCATATATATATATATACCTTTTGATCATAGTTAAATACTAGCATTGGATTTAGCATATCATAGCAAGTTAGTTTGTATTGATCTTTCATGTTACCGATTAATGCTTATGATAGAGATTTACTAGTAATCACATGCTAATCAAAAGATCTCCTTATCCTTTCCAACAATAATTTCTGCACAAGCATGCCCTATCTGCCACAGCCAGACATTAATTCTACGATGGGATAAGAACAACGTCAAGTTTCAGCACTTAATTGGTCAAAACCCCTACATTCCAAACCATGGCTTTCCAGATTACCGCACATAGATAAAATTACACCAAACAAAGAAAGTCATATATATGCCTATACATTAATCAACACTGCAGATTTTTATTAATAAGATTTATTAGAATAATAAAGATGAAAAAGAACACTAACCCACGCCATAGAAGAAAAGTTAAAAGGCATGACATGCTACGCGTTTGGTAAAGTTAAAAGTGTTTACAAGTCAAGTACTTATAAGTCAAAAATAAGTCAAAAGTCATAAGCTGGTCATCTCCATCTTATAAATTTTTAGCTTATAAGCACTTTAAATTTGACCAAAATTTTTATTATTTTATCCTTAAAATATTCTTTTTTAAAACAAAACTCTTACATCGATACTTAGTGTCTCAAGTACTATTTCAACCTACCCCGCCTCCTCAAGTCTGCAATGCTCATTGACTATTTAAGATAAGCAAATTCTCTATTCCTTTGCATATTTATATCTATGTGATTGTGTATTAATCTTTGAACTGTATGTAATAAATGAGGACATATCAAATTTATGATATGTTGCTTTCTAAGTGTTGTGGTGATAAAGACGGTGTTTGTTTCTCTTCAAATATTTTTTCCTATTTAGGTTTATTTTTTACTGAGAAACTTTTATCAATTTATTAATTATTATAACTTATGAGTTATGATTATATGCTTATCATAAAATAAATTATATTTATCATAAAAGTTATCTTATCTAAGCACAATTGTATTTAAAATAAAATGACAAATAGAATATTTTGTATTTGGATTGATTTGGAATCTAAAATTTTGAAGAAATTACGCCCTTATAAGTGAAAACACTTCTAAGGTTATTTAAATCATTTTAACAGAAAAAGAGCTTATCAGCATTTTTTTATCAAATACTGCACTAGCTTATTATCAATTTCAGCACTTGTATCCAAATACGTAACTGCTTATTTATTAAATCAGTTTCAGCACTTAAAATACTTTTCAGCACCTAATACTAATTTGAGTATAAAATATGATGAAAAATACTACCTAGTGCTATTTGATTTCATATATATACCACTCCTATATTTCCTATATCCAACGTCTACTTATTTAAAATGGAGAAAAACCTAAGTTGATCGTTGCTAGTTTCCTCAGAAACCATGATTATGACCACCGCCACACAAACCGCCGCCTCCGATATGGTGACCGCCACCCCAATCGCTGCCTCCGTGATGATGACCGACACTCAAACCGCCGCTTCCGTGATGGTGACCGCCACCAGTATGGTGGTGGCCACCGGCAGTAGTAGGGTAAGAAGTAGGAGCCAGAGTTGTTAAATTAAGCAGATCATTATAATCTGTGCGATATGGATTCCGTGAGCTAGTACCTTTTGTAGCTGATGAATAATCATATTTCTTCTGGCCTTCTTTTGCAGTTGCAGCTGATGAATAAACATATTCCTTATGCCCTTTCTTTATGTCGAGCTCCTTTTTTCTGCTGCTAGACTTTTTGCTAAGACACAAACCCATGGTAATGTGTGTATACAATGAAGAAACTAGAAGAATCAAGAATGTTAGTAAATAAGAACGAAGAAGAGAAACTGAGGAAGACGGATGAAAGGGGATGATGGTTCAAGCTAAGGGGGTAATCTTTCAGCTTTGTTTCTTTGCGTAGATATAAACTAAAAAAACTTATAGAATGACAGTTTTATATAGAAAAGGTCGTCCTCCTCCAACCGAAATTTCCACTCGCTATTATTATCTCAGTTTGTATTGTCTTGGATTTGAATTCTTACGTACTAAAGTCTAAGTATAATACTAATAGGTCTTATTTTAGAATATATTACATGCTATGATTTCGATTTAATTTAATTAGTAGACGAGCTTTTTCGAAGTATGAGACATGCAAGGTGTGTTAGGTATTTTTTTCCCCCTTCCTTTTTCTTGAGAAAAAGGTACAATATATTTCTCAAAATTAGTTTTTCATTTTACAAAGGAAAGTATAATTTTTTTTGTATATTTGGCAAATCCTTTTTCTAAGAGAAAAAGATTTTGACCTCCTAAATTGATGAGGTTTCTTCCTTTTTATAACTTGACATATCCGCAATATATTTGATACATGTACGAAATCATAAGAGTCTTTGTTTGAAAAGCTATAATTTTCAATTAGCTTAGATTCCCTTATATAATCAAATCTTTGGAATTAAATTCTTACCAAATTAATAGTAGTAACTAACGGTCTTATTTAGAATATTATTTAGTACTCTTCCTAATTGCTGTTATCAATGTATCTCTTAGCAATTACACGAAAGATAAAAGACACTGATACAGTTATACATCATCAACTAAGAAAAACCATGGGATAATAATAATAATAAGAAGACCTAAAAATCGAAGCCATTAATTGAACAATAAAAAGAAAAAATAAACAAAAAGCAATAACTAACAAGCCTAAAAGTGAAAGACAAAAAATGTAGCGCTTCATATATAACTTTTGAATTTAAGTTATACATAATCAAATATAATTTTCACTATCAACTAGTATATATATTTAACTTGTTATAATAAATTACTAATGACTTTAGAAAGATCTTTTTTTAATTACCTTATAAGTGATATGATAATATAATTATTTGTACATTGTGAGCCAAAAGGGGCGTTTCATTACTTTTGTGAATGTATATATGTTTTTCTCTTTATCTTTTCACCCTCCTCCAGCTCCTCCTCCACTCGCCTCACCATATCGCCGGAAGGATTAATATTGGATTTACCTCTTTATATTTGTGTACTGTAAAATCGGGGGTAATGTCTATCCCAATTTTCCGATGAGAAAACGAAGGGAGAGCACGGATGCACGAGATCGTAATCGAGGTTAGAGACCCTTCGTATCAAGATTCAGGAAGAGTGAACGATGTGCCCGTCATCGGGTATGGTAAAGCGATGCACCTCGGGCCAAAAATAAGTTCTAAGATCTCAAGAGACACGGTGAATGGTTATGCATGACGGGTAGAAGGCAGCGATACTCGCCTTCAACCGGATATCACAGCGCGAATGTCGCTCGATGTCGATTATGAATCAGTAATTAGGAAAGGAAGATTTTTACCCTTTTTAGATTTATACTAGGGATGAAACTCTCCTATTATATAAAGGGGAAGTTTTTCTTCTGTAACATATATTGTTGTTTACCGAAAAAATCAGATAACGTTAGATTTGTGGATGGTTCTAAGGATATGCGATACAATTTGATATAAATCGCGTAGAGAAATGGAAATATGTGTATTGTTGACTGTAAGAACGAAAATAATAAGCAAAAAGAATGAATAAGTTAAACAAGCACAAGGGGATTACTCAATATCTAGAGGAAGTCCTCTTTTTTTCTATTTTTTTCCCTTTTATAGAAGAGGGTCATTACCAAAAAAATAATAAAATAAAATATATAGTGGAAGACCCATGATGACTTGTCTCTTCCTTGATTCCCGCCAAGATTCTCTTTGTTGGTGTGGTTGCAACGGCTCTTGTCTGTGAGCTCGATACTAGCTCTAACTCGTTACTGGGTCGGGCCCTTCGGTCTTGGATCGAGTTCGACCTTCGAGATGGGTGTCGCGCATTTCCGACCTCGAAGCAGTGCCTTGCGGATCGATTTGGTCACGGGCTCAACAGGATTATCGAGTCGCCTCCTCGAGCGACCTTCGGGCTCGAGGTTTCGTTAATACCGACCTTAGACCTCACTACCAAAATCTCATTCCGACTTCTTAACACTCGAACTCGATCGAACGTAGGAAGGCCGAAATCTATTTCGACCGTATACAGATAGTCCCATCGTTTTTCGAAAAAGAATGTGGCGAGAAACGATATGATTTTCCAGCAGCTCGATCAGATATACACGGATGTTTTTATCTGATGATTTCCCAGCAGCTCGATTAGATATACACTGATATTTTTATCGATCCCGACCATGACGTATGTAATGCTCGATCATCTTATGTGTCTTTATAGTCCCCGACTTTATCGAGGATACCCGAATTTTTTCTTCCCCGGTGGGAATTGCGAGTTACCTTCGGTCTTTGGTGACCGGAGAAGATCAATCAGTGATGAATGAGGAGGGGCTTCCTGTCTTTTCAACGAGACCCAACATGCTTTGAATCGGATAACTTCTGATGGCGTTTTCGCCGCTTCTGTACAAAAATTTTGTAAATACAAATCTTTCTTTTTTTTTTTTTGAAGAGAAATGGCCTTTCAAACTAAATAGACAGTTTGAATTTAAATCTCTGTTGCCTTCGGGCCTCGTGGGTAGTCCCCTTTGCTTTATCGGGCTCGAGCCTCCTTCAGCTTAAATAGTCAAGTGTTTGTTTTAATTCGAAGAAATGAGTAGTTTTGCTCGAAATAATATAGCCTGTAGGCGTAATAGTCGAGCGAGTGATGGCTCGAACTCAAAACAAAGGTAGCCCGTAGGCTTAGCAGTCGAGTGAATGATTCAAACTTGATGCAATGTAGCCCGCAGGCGTAATAGTTAAAGTAGCCCATAGGCTTAATGGTCGAGTGAGTGATTGCTCGAACTCAAAATAAAGGTGGCCCGTAGGCTTGGCAATCGAGCGAATGATTCGAACTCGATGCAATGTAGCCCGTAGGCGTAATAGTTAAAGTAGCCTGTAGGCTTAATGATCGAGTGAGTGATTGCTCGAACTCGAAATAAAGGTAGCCCGAAGGCTTGGCAATCGAGCGAATGATTCGAACTCGATGCAATGTAGCCCGTAGGCGTAATAGTCAAAGTAGCCCGTAGGCTTAATGGTCGAGTGAGTGATTGCTCGAACTCGAAATAAAGGTAGCCTGTAGGCTTGGCAATCGAGTGAATGATTTGAACTCGATGCAATGTAGCCCGTAGGCGTAATAGTCAAAGTAGCTCGTAGGCTTAATGGCCGAGTGAGTGATTGCTCGAACTCGAAATAAAGGTAGCCCGTAGGCTTGGCAACCGAGTGAATGATTCGAACTCGATGCAATATAGCCCGCGGGCGTAATAGTTAAAGTAGCTCGTAGGCTTAATGGTCGAGTGAGTGATTGCTCGAACTCGAAATAAAGGTAGCCCGTAGGCTTGGCAATCGAGTGAATGATTCGAACTCGATCCTGTTTGCATAATAAATCTTGAACATAGAATATCGGTGAGGAGGAGAGCTTTCTTTGCAGGTCATTATACATGGGTTCATGTTTTGCGCCAGGGCTCGGGCCAACTATATAAGCATAGTTCGTTTTGACCATTTGGCCCTTACAATGTTTCCCGTTGAGACACTGTTTGTCATGAAATAACGAAGTAACTTCCTTTGCACCAAACTTGATAATCAT